AAGCTACTTCTAGCCGGATGCAACGCAGTGCAAAGCTAGCACCAAGTTGTCCTGATCGATTCTTTGATAGGACGTATACTAGTACTAGCAGTAAGCTAGCTAGCTATCGACTTGATCTATCCTAGCTGATGCACAATACGTACGCACACGGAAGACGCCGGCGTTTTGCCACAGGCACGTATCGTGCCTGTTTGGATCTGTATTACTTTCACAAATCGATAGTACAAGGGGTAGGGGTACACGCATATAAATATGCTCAAGATAGACTAGAAGCTAACCTACTCGGTCTCTACTTCTAATCCTACCCGGTGACTGTTTCTGTGTACGAGCCGGACACAGTGCCACGCACGTCGTGGTTATTCCAACAATCACCCCCCTAAACACGACGTCGTCATGTCACAGCTCGATGCTGACCCAGCCTTGGTTAGGATGTCCGCCAGCTGATCATCCGTGCAACCGTGGTTGACCTTCGTCATCCCTTCTTTCACGCAATCCTTTATGTAAAGATACATCGTATCAATGTGCCTGCTCCTGTCATGCCGAACTGTATCCTCGCGTAGAAAAAACGTAGACTCACTGTCAACGTTGAGCACCACTTGCTTCGGATCTCGATCCATGAGATCACTGTGTAGCCGTCCTAGCCACACACCTTGGCACTCTGCTTCACTTGAAGTCGATGCCACCACTTTCTGCTTTCGTGATAGCCAACTTACTATGCTTTCACCAAGGAAATATGCCACGTCCGAGGTACACTTACGGTCGCCAACAATTCCTTCCTTGCCACTACCACTGTAGCCGAGTAGTTTCACCATCTCCTTCTTGCTTAGCTCAAGACGAGGTTCCATTGAAGCGACAATGTGATTGCAATCTTTCATGCCACGGCTTTCAAGTACCTTCCTTGCATATGCCTCCTGGCATAGTGTGATCCCCTCCGGCTTTTGATGTACCTCCGTCCCGAGGTTGCAACTCAAAAGGCCTAGATCATCTATCTTGAAAAGCTCCTTCATCTGTAGCTTGAACTTTGCAATCACCTCTTCATCTGCTCCAGTTATCAATAGGTCGTCGACGTAGATGCCAACTAGTAGACGATCCTTTCCTTCACCTCTCTTGTACATTGCATGCTCTAGTGGGGCTTTCTCAAATCCAAGAGAAATCAACGTTCGATCAAGTTTGATGTTCCACTCCCGAGAGCCTTGCCGTAGCCCGTACAAGACTTTGTGTAGCTTCAGTACCTTGTGTTCCTCTCCCTCTTTGATGAATCCCGGTGACTGATTCACATACACATCTCCTTCTAACTTGCTATTCAAAAACACGGATTTTACATCCAAGTGATGTATCTTCCATGATTCCTGAACCGCGAGAGCGATGAGTAGTCTCACCGATTCCATCCTTTCAACAGGAACGAACACTTCTTCAAAATCCACACTTTCCTCTTGCATGTACTCTTTGGCCACTAGCCTTGCTTTGTGCTTCACGGAACCTTCGACATCTCTCTTGATCATAAATTCCCACTTGAGATCCATGACTTTTTCGTTGTTGGGAAGATCCACAAGCTCCCAAGCATTGTTGTCGTGAATCAACCTCAACTCCTCTTCCATAGCATGACGCCAACACTCCTTCGTATTTGCGTCGTCGAATTCCGCCGGTTCCTTGGCGCTTGCTAGACACCGCCGCCCACTCCGTTTCACCTTTTCTGGGTCTTTTGTCCGAAGAGACTTCTCCGAATATGGGTGTAACACCGGCTGTAGGAGTACGGATGTAGATGACAGTATCCTTTCCTCCTTTACTTTTGGAGGCGAAGTTGCTTGCGCGGCTCCTTGTACCTTCAGGAGCGACACATCACCTTTTGCTTTGCATATTGCTTTTGGCGAAACAAGCAAACACGGTTCCATTGTATCCTCTAACTTTGAATACGCCGGTGCCATGCATGAAGCCGCTCGCTCAGCTTCACTTGCTGGCTCATGCCCTCCTGCTGGGCTGCTGTCACGGCCCGTTCCTGGGATGCATCTTGCCCCGCTTGCTAGGTTGCAACAACTGCTGCCTTTGGACTTCCCTGTTTGTCCGTTGGCTGAGCCATGGAGTGCCACGCCTTGGCCACCAACTCCATGTGTTTGTACCATAGCTGCACCTGTACTTGATGCACCAGCCCCAACAGTCACGACATCCATGTCTGTGTTTTCTCTTGCAACATGTGTCTCTGTCTTTGCACAAGTAATAGCATCAGCTTTTGTTTCTTCGTGGACTTCCGGCGCCACGTACGCCTTTATTTTTTCTGGATACATCGTACGAGGACTGCTTCTCCATGGCCGAGTACACGCGGCAATTGCTGCATCCGCTCCAGCGAAGTTAGCACTTATGCCCGTAACATCGACGTAATCTTCGGAATCACCCCCCATGTCCGTAGCGTCGACATGAGTTTCCGAACCATGATCTTGACAGTGAACTTTTTCTTCACGGAGCACGACAATTTCTTTAGCCGATGCTTGATGAACTGGATCCACCTTGTCCACGAGTTCGCACATCAACATCATGTCACCTTCATCACCTTGCTGGGCCATGAGCGCCTTCTGCTTCGGTGCTTCCTCGCAGTCAGGTGTACCTCGGACGTGGCATATTTCCTTGGTGAAAGCATAGTAAGTTGGCTATCACGATGAGCGTATTGCTCTGATACCAATTGTTGCCCAGTCCCGACGCCGAGTACTTCCAGCGATAGGCAACAACGACGACAGACAAAACTCACTGACGAGCTCGACGAAGTACTTTACGCCGAGATACACCGTAGTACAAAGCCAGCAACACCACGTACTAGTTTGATCTATTCCTTTGATCAACTTAGTATCTCACGTACGCACACAACGGCCAGCCGGCCGGAACAACACAAACGCACGCGAGACAGATGTATTGCCAAAGGCTCGTCTCGAGCCTTATTGCTGTATTGTTTCAACTCAGATCCACGGTCTGGTTGTTACAGGGTACAGGCTACATGTATATATAGCCTAGGATAGCTACGTGAGCAATACTACTCGGTTTGCTAATCCTAGTCCTACATGGTACATGCAAGTAACCTAGGAGGCCACAGTTATAACACCTCACTTTCCTGATGTCAAACTTTTTTCTTGGCGGTGGTGCAGCCTCATCCTCTGAGTCGTCATCCGAGTTGGCGAATTTCTTTCTCGACGAACGCTGCTTCCCCTTCTTTTTGCTGCTGCTCGTGGATCCGCCTTGCTTTTCTAGGGCAATCCACTGTGCCTTCGTGAGCATCACAAGCTCGTCGTTCTTCCCGTCCCCAAGGCTGTACCGCATACGCTCATCGTGAGCCTTGTACCGTCCGACAAGATCGTCGATGGAGAGAGTCGCGAGATCGACGCACTGCTCGATCGCCGTGACAATTTGTAGGTACCGGGGAGGGGCCGCGCGCAAGAACCGCTGGACAACTGAGGCCTCCGTGAGGTTTTCTCCAAGCGCACGGATCCGATTGACGAGAGTGGCCACCCGTGAAGCGAACACGTAGACGGACTCATCGTCGCCCATGACCAAAGTCTCGTAGTTCCTTAGGAGAGTTTGGAGATTGGCTTGCTTGACACGTGTGTGTCCCTCGAACATGAGCTTCAGCGTATCCCACACCTCCTTCGCCGTTGCTTTGGCGATTAGGTGCTGGAGGACATCCATCGGCATCACCGAGTAAATCGCTGACGCCGCCTGCCGATCCTTCCGGTGCTTGGCTCCCTCCTTCTTGAACGCGTCACCTCCGGGATCCACCGCGTCCCATAGCTCGTTGGCGCGGAGACCACACTCCATGAGGGCCTTCCAGACCCCGAAGTTCTCGTGATCAAACCGTGGATACGACGAACTCGCCGGAGCAGCAATTACTTTAGCTGCACCGGAGTACTCCACCAGCTGCTTGGTCTTGTCCTTCTCGTCGTCCGACATGATCTCCCGTTACTAGAAGATCAACCTGGCTCTGATACCAATTGTTGGCCCAGACCACGTCGCCGAGTACTTTCCGGCGATAGGCGATGATCGACGATGACGAACGACGAACAAAGCTACTTCTAGCCGGATGCAACGCAGTGCAAAGCTAGCACCAAGTTGTCCTGATCGATTCTTTGATAGGACGTATACTAGTACTAGCAGTAAGCTAGCTAGCTATCGACTTGATCTATCCTAGCTGATGCACAATACGTACGCACACGAAAGACGCCGGCGTTTTGTCACAGGCACGTATCGTGCCTGTTTGGATCTGTATTACTTTCACAAATTGATAGTACAAGGGGTAGGGGTACACACATATAAATATGCTCAAGATAGACTAGAAGCTAACCTACTCGGTCTCTACTTCTAATCCTACCCGGTGACTGTTTCTGTGTACGAGCCGGACACAGTGCCACGCACGTCGTGGTTATTCCAACAGTCAGGCCAAACCATTCTTCCTTTCTTGTAGCCACACAATCTTGCGTGATATCAATCTTACATAACTTTCTCTTTTCTGAATGGCACACTCCAGGAAAATGTACACCTTCACCTCAGTGCTTGACTTGACTCTAGCTCATATCATATGTGGATTCCTTTTCGCAAAGTGTGTCAATTATAGCAGCTTTTGAGCAGCTTTCTGGATAATCTAACAGGTCGTGCCTGTGAGTGAATCTTCTATTCTTATCCTCAACAGAATGTAAAGTACTAGGAGGAAGGCTTACATATACAGATGCTGGGCTACCAACTCTGAAACAAAGCGTCCGTTGAGAGGGCAACAGAACTCGAGGAGCGGAAGAACAACTGCTACTCTGCGAGGCGGTCAATTGGGGAGGCTTTACTACTCGTGGGCAAGCAAATGGATCAGCCCATTTCTTTTTCTACTTTTGTCAGCGGAAACTTATCATCCCATTTCTTTTTCTACTTTTGTCAAACTATAGTTGACTAATCATGCTATATATGTTGCTAACTGATGGACTTCGATTGTAGGCCAAACTTCTAGCGATTCGGACGATTCCTGCGTTATAGAGATGGTTCAGCTGGCCAACGTTCTGAGAGGTGAATTAGACGCCCTGCACTCACCCCAGGCGCAGGTCGGCGACAGGCGCCCTCCTTGTCCTATCATCATCGCCAAGGTCCGCGACCACACGCGGAACGTCGACAGCGGCGAGTACGACCCTGACCACGTCGCTATCGGCCCGTACAACTACCCTCGGTCCGATAGCAAGAGGATCCAGCACCTCGCCATGGGGCACGACAAGCTGATGAGCCTGGAGAAGGTGCTCACGGCAGCAAAGGCTCTGAGACCCGGCATAACGGTGGAGGTGGACGTCTACGTCAACGAGCTGAGATGCCTCGAGGAATCTGTGAGGGACTGCTACGACAACACGTTTCCTGACATGACGAGCGAGCAATTCGTCCGCATGCTCCTCCTCGACGGCTGCTACATACTCTCCCGCCTCGTCGGCCTCCAACTCGGAGCACAACCCATGGCCGATTTGACGGGGACTGCAAATGCAGGCGCCCTGTCAGCGGAAAGGGCCGAGGCGCTGGCCGTGGTCCGCCATGTGTTCTACCTTGCAGAGAACCAGATACCATTTTTGGTCCTTGAGAAGATTGGGGAGCTGACAGGTTTGGACGGTAACAATCCTGTGATTGCAAACATCGCTAAGTATGCTCTCGATCTCATGAGGATGCAGAAGTACGCGGAGGCAGCGCCGGCCATGGTGCCCACGGTGCCAGGCAATCTTCTCCATCTTCTTCATATGCACTTGAAGCCTGTGGCACCGTCGGTGTCTTCTGCTGCAACGGTCAGAGGCGCCAAGCGTGTGACCGTGCGCCGGTGGCGCTCAGCAACAGAGTACTACTTCGCCGGGGTGATGTTCAAGCGTCGAGACATGAGCGAGAACGGGCTCACGCGGTGCATCCTCGACGTGAAGCTGAGCAGCGGCAGTGGCACGCTGGAGGTCCCCTGCTTGGACATCGACGCCGGGACATGGCGCCTGCTGCGCAACTTGATGGAGCTGGAGCAGCGGAATAGGGAGGCGGTCGGGAGCCACGTCACAGCGTACTGTGTGTTCATGTCACAATTGGCCTGCACCACAAAGGACGTCGAGCTGTTGACCAAGAGACGCGTCATCGTGCATGGCCACGGCAACAATGATGAGGTGGCCAAATGCTTCGCTGACCTATGCAAAGGTATTATGTTTGATCCCAATGATCCCCATTGCAACTATCTGTGGGAGACATGCTCCAAGCTGGAGAAACGTTGCTTAAGCAACCCGCAGAGATGGATTGCTTGGCTGAGGCGGAAGTACTTCAACAACCCTTGGCTTGCCGTCGGGCTCCTGGCGGCTGTCATTGGACTAGTTTGCGGTATCGTCCAGGCAGTGTACTCTGTTTTGAGTTACAAACATGGATGAAAATAGTAACTGTACATCATGTGCTATACGGCCCTGTAGACTTGGATAAAACTAGTATTGTGTGTGATGATAGGTTCACTAGACGGCTGTGGCGTAATCA